CTGAGGCCCTAGCCTGTTAATCGACACGCCTAAGGTCGATTTAGGGGTCAGTTTGGGGTTGAAGTAGGACTGATCACCAGGCTTACCTCACCTTAGAGTCTCCGCGATTTTTTTCCCACCCCATAGTCGCCTCATAATATTTTACACCTCCCCTGATGGCCAAGTTCATTACAATCCCCTTGCCCGCACAGAATGTCCTTCCCACGTGTTTAGGGGAAGCCTCACGTGTCCTGCTGGCCAGTTGTTCTTAACTTTGTTTTCAATTACTCCCTCGAAATTCCCTGAAATCAAAGCCGGCTGGTGGGTCACCTCAGCACTGAAGCATTAGAAGCATTAGGCAGCAGCGACTTGAAGGTGGTATTTCGTGTGCTGTAACGGGGGAAGAGAAATGGAGGATGGGCATGGGGGGGTCTCCGTTTCTGGGAATGCCTGCTTTTCCTTTTCGTTATGATTTTTATCCTGTTGCTGCCGAACTCTGTTTTACCTGTGAAATTTTGGTGACTGGGCTGGGCCAGTTTGAGTAGAGCGGTCTGTGCTCTACTTTCTTCCTGGTGTCCTTTGTCACGACTAGGTCTAGACTTCATGTACACATATGTCCCTTCTGGTCTCCCCCCCCCCCCCGGGCCGCCCCCCCCGGATCTCCTCTGACTTTTCAGGGTTTTAACACTCTTCCTTTTTTTTCTCGCACTCAAGCAGGAGCTGGGCTCATCCCTCTGGCTTGATTTTGGGCCTGGTGTAGACTTGAGGTGGAATTATAGCCTGTAGAATCTGTTTAAGTCACAAGGTGGAGCCTGTAGCTGGGAGGCCTGGTGAATGCCTAGATATCAGCCTCAAAACTGGGGACCCCATACTTATCCCTAAAAGTTAAAAGATAAAGAAACTAAGGTAGCCAAAGTAGGTTTTTGAAACCCTTGGAGCGATCAATAGAAGAAAAACACACACACTCCATGTTCAAATCAGTTAGACCCCACAACTCCCTCTCCTTGCCTGTTGACTGTTCTGTGTGTACCCAAGCCAAACATACTACATCACCTTATTCAATAACCCTCTCACGTCTCCCATCAACATAGTTTTTTTTCACTAAGGTGTGTATACCCCTAATGGGGTAAATTAGATTAACTCCAGTGGGAACACAGAATGTTAAAGCCCCTCCAGCTTATTTGGGGAAACTTCAGTTTTCTCATTGGTCCAAGTCTGCTAGTCTTCATTTTCATGGATTGGTTTTTGTGTGGCTGTAGAGTGTAAGTGAATATGGGACAGGGTTGGTGCAGCTTGAAGAAGAGGCCACGCCATTCCTAGAGGCCTCTCCCACACATAAGCCATGGAGTGGGGTGCAGCGGCCTATATTGAAGGCACTGTTGCTACTTCTGAGGCATTCTGTCTGTGGTCTGCCATATGGGTGGGCTCATGCTGTTGGACCTACATTTGGACTAAGTTGGTGATTAAAGGGTCTTTTAAATTTTTTTTTAAAAAATGCATTTATATGGGCTCTGTGTGTGTGCACATGCACACGTGTGTATTCATACATGCACATGCCATGTTGCATATGTGGAGGTCAGAGGACAACTTTGTAGATGTTGGCACTCTTCTTTCACCCTGTGGGTCACAGGAATCAAACACAGGTTGTTGGGCCTGATTAGGCAAGCGCCCTAATGACTAAGCCAGCTAAGGCCTCCTTTTGACCCAAGGTAGTGGGAGAAACCCAGGACAAGACTAATATGGATTCAGAGAGGGGTATCTGCCCTATATGCTATATCCATTTCTCAGTCCAGGTCAGGCCTTTCAAAGAATAGAAAGAGGCTTTCAAAGAGAGATGGGAGACAATGGAGTGGAGGAAAGAGCTGGGAAAATCTAGAAGGTGACCCATAACTTTCTCACTAAGCCTAATGTAGGCTGGCTCCTAGCTATAGAGTTGGGAGAGGAACCATGAGGGCTTCTGAGAGGCTCGATGAGACCAGAAGCCCAGAGCAGGACATAAGCTGCTGGGGAAGGGATTTGCAGGGCTCCTGGGTTACCTTGTGTCTGGTCACTTTCAGCCATAGTTTCTGCAAGAGATGCTGGTTGGCAAGGGCACCTTGACACTTGCTTCTCAGAATCTTCAGGAACAACCATGGGAGTGTCTGACTTTCCAGACGTGGTAAATTCTTATCCTTGCTACCTGGGAACTTCCAAGTCAGAGAAGACCCCAGGAAGGTCCTAGAGCCCAGGACTGGTGGAAACATCCCCACAGCGCCTTTTGTATTTGCTGTGCCACCAGCTTGCTCTTGGCCAGGCTGGAGCACAAACTGAGGGAAATTCCAAAACTGAACCTTAAGCTTAGCTCTCCAAAGACCAGTGCACACTCACCATGTGGATGTGGAAGTTGCTTCCAGCAGCAGAGGCCCTCAGTGAGAATGGCAAAAACTAAATTTCCTTGGTCCTTGAGGCTGCCATCATAGTGTGGCCTTTCAGAGGTGACACAGCCTCCCTTCACTTCTTACCACCTTAGCTGGTTCTTTGGAGCTACTCACATGCCCTGTAGCTCTTCATGTAAGCTTAATTATTCCGACCTTGCTCGGTGCCCAGCTAGGCTCTTTTTGGCTGGGCCTCCCCCTCCAAGCTAAGCTTCCAGCCTTTTCCAGCCTCATAGCCCCAGGATAGAATTATCTTGACCAGGTCTTTGGAATGGGGAAATGAGGCTTTTAGGCCTCTGTCCCCGAAATATGAGATATTTATTTATTTACCTGGCGGGACACTGAACTTGCTCGGGATAAGTCTGTGCTGGGGCCTTTACGCTATTCGCAATCAGGGTAAATAGCCTGTGAACCAGTCGACTGGAAGAATGGTAGGGAAGGTTGGATTTTAAGTTCCTTGACTATCCGTGCTGAATGAACTGTCCTGAAAGATTTAAGGGGGCTGGGGTGGGGGGAGTGTGCGCCAAGGGAGATAGTAAGAGGTGAGAGCCAAGTTCGGGAGGTGAGGGGATTTGAAAGAAATTTGAAAGGCTCCTTTTCAGCCATCAAAATTCTTAGCTGCTCTCTTTCAATACCCGCTGTGGGTTCTCTGGAATAAGAGCCCGGAATAGGCGAAAGGCAGCTCATAGCGTCCTGCGCTATGGAAGTTACTATTTGTGTGGTGCGGGCCCAGTCCAGCAGGGTAAGCTTGCTGTACCCGAGGTAAGGCCAGCGCCCCAAGCTCTCTCAGGTCTCCCCGGTCCTTCTCCTCCCTCCATTAAGTAGAGGAGGAAGGAGGGTAAAATCTTGAGATATTCACTTAGATGACTTAGGATGGCAACAGGACTTTTCTGTTTGTTTCGTTTTGCCTTAACCAGACCCGCTTAGAAAACATTGATCGGGAACGGAGCAGTAACCTGTGTGGAGAAATTTGGGCAGATCTCAAAAACCCTGGCGGCGGGGGGGGGGGGGGGGGGGGCATGGGGACGGGAAAAACTCAACAAAAGGCCTTTTTTTTGTGGGGGGGGGGCAGGTGTGGGAAGTGGACCG